TATACCCTGTACTTTTGGCTTACTGCGTTTTGAACTCGAATTCGATGTAATATCTTTTATTTTATTTCATTTTCTTTTAAATGTGTAATAATCACGTTAAATGAATAATAAAATAATAAATGCTATTCTATATAATGTTTATGACACTTTTAAAATACCTGCATAGGTGTATACTTATATTCCATTATCCGTCGTTTTTCGCGCATTATATTATATGTTAGTGTTTCTTTGCTTTTTACGAATTTATTTTATGAACAATATTTGTTTTTCGTGATTTGTGTATAATATCTAAATATAATACTTTTACGAAGCTATTATTTTATAATTTTTTCATTGCACCTTCACTACTATACGTATCTAATAAATATACAGTATTAAAACCCGAGAAGGTTATATCTTATAAAATGCTTGTACATAATAATCTTACTATAAGTCTGTGAACTATGGAGTTAAAAATCAACTAACAAATCAATTCTCTATCAGCCTTCAACTCAAAATTCGGTAAAGCACGATTGAGCATAAAACGATTGAGCATAGACCTTTTTAGCAACACGATTGAGCATAGAATATTTTATGCGACGTTGCCACATTCACGTTGCCAAAATTTTGTAATTTATTATTTTCTCGTATTATTACACCAATTATTATGATATCTGACGCGAGCCGTGAGCTTTATCGGCTTTATAAATTTTATCGACAATGTTATCGATTAATAAATTAGTTCCGGAGCAAAACGACGTTTTAAACATTTAGCATCGGGGGAAAATATAAGATAATTAAGATACAAATCCAAAATTATTATAGAAATAATATCAGTGTTCGATCACCTGTGTAGTGTATAGTGCGTGTATACTTAGTGCGTTTTTCTATTTTTTTAAAATATGGATATAACAATTATTTTATCGGAAAGAGGCAAAGAATTGGCCCTAGTTAATTTATACAAGTATAAATTAATTGGAGAGCGAAAAAAAGACAATCTTTTGAGATGGAGGTGTACTAATAATAAATGTTCGGCAATAATGTTCTCGGGTTTCGATAAACGTAAAGTGATTGAAACTGCTGGACAACATAATCACGATAAAAATTCTATTGAGAAAATAGAAACGCAAGTTTTAAGAGAAAATTGCAAAAGAAAAGCTGAAGAATCAATTTACACACGGCCACTTAAAATTATTCGCACCGAACTTTTAAATTCTTCTCCAACATCAAATTTAAACAATCAAAATGTAAGAAATGTACGGAAAGCAATGTATGATAAACGGAAGCAGACCTATCCTAAATTACCAACTTCTTTGGATGAAACAATTCATCAATTAAGTGACTTAAAAAATGAAGAATGTTTTAAATATAAGGGTCAACAATTCATTTACATGCCGACTGATGATAATTTTGTATGTTTAACTACAGAACAAAATCTACAATTTATGACAAATAATTGTACTGAGTATTTTGGCGATGGCACATTTAATTATGCTCCAAAATATTTTATTCAATTGTACACAATACATGGATATAAAAATGGATACTACTTACCACTTGTTTACTTTTTTTTACCAAATAAAACTAGGTCTACTTATATTAAAATGTGGCAATTTTTAAATAATTTATGTTTGAAATTATGCGAAAAAAGTTTGCAAATTAACACATTTCATGTTGATTTTGAAATTGGAGCTCATCAGGCAATTACAGACGTGTTTGGAAATATTAAAATAATTGGATGTAGATTTCATTTAGGACAATCATGGTGGAAAAAAGTAAGAAACAGTTATATAATATAGTGCTTTTTTACTAAAATATAATAATTTGTTTGTAGATTGTTGGCGAACCTTCACTCAGAATAGCATACATGGACAACAGTAATGAACTAGGGAAATGGTTGAAAATGTTTTTTGGTTTGGCGTTTATTTCCCCAGAAGAAGTAGTTGATGCATTTCACGAGTTAATATCAATTTGTCCAAATGATGACGGTTTCATATTTTCTGATTACATTATACACAACTATATTGAAGATCACTGCCAGTTTCCTCCAAATATTTGGGCGGAAACTCCTTCGCTAAACCCAAGGTTTTTAACAATATTTTTTAAAACTTATTATAAAAACTTTTTTTACTAATTTGTATTGTTTTATTTAATTTTTTTTAGAACGACCAATGCAGCTGAAAGCTTTCATCGCACGTACAATTCACAGTTTTATTCACCTCACCCCCATGTTCATACAGTCGTTAGGGTATTGATCGAAACACAAGCGGAAACATCGACTAAGATCAATTCAATTCGACACAAGCCTGGAAAATTACAATCCGCAAAAGAAATAAAAAAAAATGAATTGAATATTCAAGCCTACAGCCAGTTTTTAAATCGTAAGAATACGGAATCTTTATTAATTTATTTAAGTCAAATTGGAAGCAGATACCAAGGTGTATCAATTTAATTTATTATTATCAAAAAATCTAGCTAGGTATATTATACTGTATTATAATATGAATGTGACAACTATTTATAAATATTTTGATTTTATTATTTTGATAAGTCATAAGTCATAACTATTATTATTATTTTATTATTAACAAAAATATCTATATACTGTGACAGCTATTTATACTACTATCATAAGTATTTTCATGCATATTAAATATTGACTATGAAAACATGATATTTTTTTGTCATGTTATATTTTGATTTATTATAATTATTTAAATAAATGTTTTTATACGATACAGTTCAAAATTGAAAATGGCAACGTTGCAGAGTTTTTTATGCTCAATCGTGTTGGTTTTCTTTTGTATTTCAATTTCCTTTGATACGCCGACAATTTATGCTCAATCGTGTCGCAAAAAAGGTGTTTTATGCTCAATCGTGTCGCAGCCCTCAAAATTATGGACTTCAAACTGGTTTCGAATCGTTACTAACTTAACCTTACAAAAAACTCAGTTATGAATTTAACACAATAGTTTCAAATTAAACACTTTATTGTTTTAATTTTACAATGATATAATATTGATCTATGTCATCTAAAACGGGGTAAAAGTTTAAATATAAAAATAAACTTAACTATGATTTATTTAGTTAGAGGAACAAACATAATAATAAAAATAAATACAAGTATATGTATCTAAGAAAAACCTTCAGAGCAGGTCAAACGTTTGTATTCGCATATAATATATCCCCATCATTGCTTTCAAAAATTAGAACATATCTGTCGTGTTTATTGACAAATAACTTTAAAGCATTATGGTCAAGGTTTTAAAATAATCATTTAATAATCAATATCGGTCGTAAAATATGAAAAAATAAAAACAGTTTACTTATGAATATGTACAATTATCAGGCTACAGTTTATTGTATATTACACACCATACAATTACTTCAATGCAAAACTTTTAGATATAAACCAATTTAAGATGATTTAAGAAATATATTCAGTTTACTAATGCAATAATGTTTACTTGCTAGACCTATTTAAATATCGTTTATTGATTAATTCAAAATGTCATTTTCATCGTAAAATAACTTTTTGCTACAGTGCATAACGACAGGGAATCCGGATGGCTGCAGGTTGGCCTATTTCGTTTATCGTTACCACCGATTTTATTATAAACACAGACTATGAATTTATATGTTATCAGTTTTCAAAAAAATTTCTCTTACCAATCAAGTCTGAGTATTCTAAAGACGATATTTTCAAAATTCCAAATCTATTTTACTATCGTGACATATTTTAAATATTTACCAGGTTAACCTAACTAGCTAACCAATATTTCTAAAAATATTTATGTTTGTTTTAAATAATCATTAAAAAACTAATTTAGTTGAATTAGCAATACTGTGAAAGCTTTCACCATTACTTGAGTAAAGTTGTATTCAACCCTTTTCTTAATGCATTTATCCCTGGAATATTGTTTTAATTGTGTGCCCTATTATTTATTTATAACCTAAATTATTATTCTAATATTTTAAGAGCACATGTACATATGTTTTATGGTGAATAAGTATTTAATTGAATAAAAATGTTGAAAAAAAAAATGTTTATTAATTTACAAATTATAAATTACAAATTTTATTTTTGTAAATAAAATAAATATGCATCAAAAAGATTTATATTGTTTATTACATTTTTAAAAACATGTCCAACATAAATGAAATCGAATGTGTAGAATGTGGGAACAAATTTAAATTTTCAAAAAACTTTAGAGCTCATATAATAAAAATAATCCTCTTTTAAAGTTAGATAAAATAGCATCGAAAAAAACAGAAAAATAGTAATATATTTACGTATGACCAATGTCCAAAATCATATTGTCGTCAAAGAAATCTCATTGAACACAAAAACGTTGCTCATACTATTGCTCTAACAATTGAAATTGTAGTCCAATGTACAACTGTATATCAGGAACTAACCAAAAAAATAAATAAAAACGTATTATTATTGCCTATAGGTTACCTGCACTAACCATAGATCTATCTATCAGCTATAGTCGTGATTAATATTCATTTTTAAATTGATTATAACATCTGTAATAATGATAAAAAAATCTTGCACTCATCCGGATTACCTGTCGCTAGTGGCTTGTCTTTCTGCTTAATTAAGGAGAAATAAATGTTGTGATTCAAATCGCGTTTGAAAATTGTATAGTTCTACAAAAGGTTTTGGACACACGGGAATCGTTTGCCTAGACACAAGTATTCCGAGAGCATTTTCGGTAAAACCTAAAGCCATATATCTATGTCAATGTTTAAGCCCCGTAATATAACTGTTTTCGATTTTCTCCTGTATAAATACCAACATTTCTATTTAAATAAGTCGATTGAACGTGAGTTAAAAAATGAAATGTAAAAAGCGCCCGTTGCGCGCGCTACACCGCCGCCGGCCGTGCGTACGTAGTACGAATACGACGAAGCCATCTGGCCGACGACGATGATAGTACCGTGCGGGCACTATGGCGCATGAACGAAACCAACGACCCCGGGACGACATCACGGCGCTCGCGCGAATCGATTTTTCGGGTGCCCGCAGTACATGCAGTCGCTGTAGACGCCGCCGCCGTCACGAAGTAACCAAAACAAAAGCTCCGCGAAACGTATTCGCGGAACTATCGCCGACCGTATTTCGTTCGGCACACGAAACCGGGTAATTATCACGGGTATAAAACGCGATTACCGCGAACAGGCGATTACCGGGCGTCCGTTCCGATCCGTTCGTCGGCCGACGGACGAGTCCCCTTCGGGTTTCCAGGTGATCGCGGGCTACGTGGGAAAACCGAAAGTATCGCACTCGAGATGTATTCCGATTCGCTCGAACGCGCTTAACTCCACCGCACCGCATCAACAACCGTCGTCGCGCCGTACAGTAAGTAATTTCTTTCCATTCCATAACGGGAAAATTAATTGATTCGCGTTGGCGTTGAAGTCAATTGTCGTTGGGAGTCGCTAACACTCGACTAGTAATAGTGTCCCACCTCAAGGGATTGATAACGTATATTTATATATATATATATTATTAAATAGTTGTGAGATATCAGGCAGCAAAAGCAGTTTTGATAAATAAAACGTTCGAGTACTTCATTTGAAAATCAACGGAGACCGAGTAGGAATTCGTGCTTAAATAAACAACTGCTTTACTTCGCAAAACTTAACGTTGAAACATACTATGAGATCAAAATAACAAAATCACTGGTTTGCAACTACTTTTAAGCGTATATCGTACTTAATATCACCCCCTCCTTCACCTGATGCACACGAACGATAATAATACACGTATACACTAACATCGTCTGACATGAAATATGCACATTTTCTTATAACTTCTTATTTATTATTATAACTACGAAACCATTGCACGTGCAGTCGCTTGTATCGATTCACCTCGCATCGCGTTTAATATCATGTACTAATATAATATCAAATATGTATGTATTTAATGTCGTACATAAAGCTGCTCCAAATGATCGTCATTCGTTTTTTGCACAGTGTATATGACAACATTTTATTTGTACGAATTTCTTTGCGACGCATTCTTTTTCGTTTTTTCAAGATTTTGCACGAACGGAACGTTTAATGGCTACATAGAGATCTAATTGTTGCGTACTATCTTTCAAAAAGCCTACACTTATTTGGCTTTCGCTGTAACACACAATGTCGAATCGAACGTGGTTTTGCTATTTATACGCATAATATAAGAGCATAGACGTGCGTTTGGCCCCTATCTTAACAAAACGTGTAGGTATATTTAATAAATTATAATGTATTAATAATTAAATACATATAACTTTAATTTTTAATTTAATAGTGTAGTATATTAGCCCAAATTAATACGAGTATGTTCTCCTCGAATCTTTTTTCTCAGATAACTTCAATCATCTAAGATTAATACTTTTGTAGTAAATTGTGGCTAATACATTACGAGTACAATAAGAAGTTTTTGTACGAAAATTAAAAACTATTTTTTCAATCACGAAACATAATTTTTTTTTTACCAAATATTTTAGAATAAATTGCATTTAATTCGTCAATAATTTGCAACATCAGTTAAAATACAGGCCCTTTTTCCTTAGACTTAAATCGTAGGGCTCCATTTACAGTATTTCGAGGGTGTCTAGGAACACCCGTAATCTACCGTGCGCCCGCCTATGTATACGAGTATTCGGTGTCAGCAAGTGAAAAGCTCTGGTGGTTATGTTGTAAAACTGCCGTCACACGTACATACATCGATATCCCGTTGTGCAGTAGCTCTCTGGATAGTTCCTTTAACCTCAATCTATTGAACGACATATCCGACAACCCAAAATAAAACAATGGTATTTTTTGTTAATACACGAGAGTGTATTTTTTGAAAACCTAGTCACGACCACTAACCGAGCCTTTAAGAAATTCTTATGGACAGCCCTACGGGAGGTAACGTGGTGCACGGTTTCATAAACCACCACTGTAGTTTTTTCGACTACAACTCGTTTGCGCACATTTACCTTTTTTACAACTCGATTGCGCACAAATATTTTGGCTACCTGTGACGAAAATTCCTAGTGTCAGATAATTAAAAAAAAATGTTAATTTTTTTTAAATTAATTTTTACTTATAAATGAAAATATCTACCATACATAATATTGAATTTGTTACTCTAAAATAATTATATAAAAAATACTTTGGTGACTAATTTCTGCTTTGAGGTTAATTATTTCCAGTTTATGTTAAAATAAAATCTGATTTAATAAATATTTAAATTTCCCTCTCTTATTGATTTATATATTTTGTGAAAATATATTGTACTGCATTAAGATCTTATTCAACAAGGTATGTCAATAAAAAATCGTTAATTACTAAATAGTAAATAAACTTCTTTCCTAAGTTGAAGGTACATAATTTCTTGTTTAAGCCATTATAACTCATATATTAAAAATTTAAACGAAAAAAAAATCACCCTCCTTATTGTACCTTAAATATAATGCCCATAATATTAAATATGTCCACGAGAGAGTGTCAGTACCCACTGATTAACGTAACGTAAATGGATAAACAATATTTTTCGTTTTCTGATTTAGTATTTAGATATACATAGTTTTTAGAGTTCCTACTATGAAGCAAGCAACATATAGTTGACCATACGAATCAATAAAATATAACCAATCATAATATAAAAAAGGTAGTCATAATCGACCATTAATGGCTTATAACATTATGGGTTTGTGTGAAATTGAGGGACAGTACAAAGTTATTTTAGATTTTTTCGACTGCTACTAAGTAATGCGGACTATCATAAAATCCAATAACTATAATAGTGGCCTCTATTCTAAATTTTTACATTTTATTCTTTGTATTTTTGAAAATCCAGAGGATACAAATGCACACCCTTGCAACGCACATGAATGCTTATTAAATTTGTAAAGAAAGTCATCGAATACTCACGCCATACACGGATATATTTGTTACATGTCTTACATACGGGACGACCTACTAGAGGGAAGAGATAGCTTAGGTTCCTCACTCAACATGTACCACACAAGCAATATTTTTAAATTTATATGCCAACATTCATGTTCATATATATATTGTTTAATTTTAAAAATGTATACATCATAAAATTAAGGCAATTTTATAAAATGTAATTTATTTTTCTATTATGAAGTCAATAAGATGTTTACTTACATAACTTCAAAACTGATTATTATGATATGTATTGGTATCTATATTCATATTTTATCTTATTTTTATACTATATCAGTAAAAATAATCTTATCTGAGAATAAAATATCGTTACGTAAATTGTTCATAATATTTGTTCTAAAAATGTTATTAATCAGTTAAACGTTATAATATATTTATTTTATGCCTTACTTAATTTATAAAAAGGAATCAGTTTATTATCTAGTTATTAAATTGTGTTCAATTAAATATAATTACTATATCAAACAATAACTAATTAAACTAGAATAATTTATGTTTTCATAAAAAAATAAAAAAAAAACAATAATATTTGTATATATAAATAATTAAAACACATTTAAATATTAGAACAAACTAAATTTCGTGATATAACTATAAGACTCTTACGTTAAAATATTGTGATTAATATACAGAATACATTATCAACTACTTTCTGAGCTAACAAAACGGTACAAAATCAGTACCAGATTTAGCGGAAACACAGAGAGTCGATACACCGAGTCCTCAAGATTTAAGGGGCCTTTAAAACTAAAATTTAAAATTGAAAATTGCCGGTTTCATTATTATTTTTTGTATTAATTTATTTTATTTTTAATTTACTTTTAAATTAAGGTGCCTAAATTTCGTATTTAAAGTAATTTAACACATCACGTTGTATTAAATAAACATATAAGTGTTATGATAAACAATATTTTTTTATGGGTCTATTGGTATTTGCATCTCAACCTCCTAAGACTTGAATCTAGCACTATATAAAATATACAAATTACACATTTTAAACTAACGTGGATTAAATATTTAAATTACATAAATGAAATGTCATAAAGTAATTATCTCATAGTATCGTTAGAAAAGATAATTTACCGTTTTATATACAATTTATCAAACTGGTTATATAGATCAGATGTAATAAAAATGTTCAAACACGTACTCGTAGGTTGATATCTTTTAAAATCGTATTCTCACAGCTAAAACGTGTTTTTGTATTGTTTTTATTGTTTATTAGTCATAAATTATATTTTTCTACCAAATATATTATCTTATACAAACAATTGTGTAAAAAATATACCAATATAATTGAATAATATATTATTATTACCCGAAACTCTAAAGCAGTGGTTCTCATACTTTTTTGTTCGTGAAACTCTTATGTTCCTAAAATATTTACTGAACCCCAAAAATCATGAATGTCTATTTGAGACAAAAATAATAGATACATAAAAAATGATGTAATTATATTTCATCAAATTTATCAATATAATTATTATCCGATTCTAAAAATATTCTTTTATCAGGTCAAAACTATTAATTTTAATATGGAAAAACACACAACCTAAAATTAAATTTTTTTAAAAACTCGGATTTTGTCATTTTCTGTAAAAACTGTGGTAATTTTACCTTAAATTTTTACATTTAATTCATTTAATTTTGTGAAAATATCAGTGAACTACCTAATGAAGTTGAAATAAATACATTTCATCATTAAGTCTGATTTTAAATTAAATGGGTTGAAAAAACGCACAGTTCATTGCATAATTCAAGAAATTCAACATACCAGTTTTTTCTTTGATAATTAAAGAATATAGTAATATTTGAATTTATTTCATTCATTTGTAAACAAACAGACATACGATAGTAAATAAAGAGAAGAGTTATGGAAAGCCATGATTAGCTTTGGTATACTAAATAAATATGTTGATATGGTAAAAACTCTGCAATGCCAAGACCATATGTAAAGTAAAATTTCTTAAAGAGCTATCATCGGAATTCGAAATTAATTCAGGGTTACGGCAAAGCGATGCCTTGTCTCCGGCACTATTTAATATAAGTTTGGAAAAGGTCATAAGAGAATTAACCCAAAGACAAAAGGTGGAGATAGTAGGTAATGAATCGATATTAGCGTATGCAGACGACATAGTCATATAGTCAAGTAACACCAGACAAGAAATTACACAAACTACATCTGAATTGTTGGAAGTTAGTAAAAATATGGGGCTGTGCGTAAATCAAGAGAAGATTAAATTTATGGTTCTCTCTAGAAACAAAGAAAATCAACATAACTTACAAGTAGGTAATTTAACCTTTTTTAAAAGTTGAAAACTTCAATTACCTAGGAATGAACATAAATAGTAAAAATGACATTCATCGAGAAATAAGTGAAATAATAGCTAGTGGGAACCACTATATATA